GGTCCGTGCTCTCATCCAACTGAATGCCCAGGTAAGGACTCTCCCGGATGTGCTTCATCTGTTGAGCACGAAGGTAGACGACGAGTGTCTCTACCAACTGCGCGAACCCGTACCTGCAACGATCAGAAACAACCTTCTTAGAAACAAGCGGGTTTTAACAAGCGGGTCCCCCAAAGCATACCAACACTTACTCGCTGTAGGCTGTGCCGGAATCCTTCAGGGGCATGTCTGGCGTGCCCATTTTTGCCATGAACTGGACCAGCGACACAAATAGCACAATGGGTGAGTCACTTCTGCAAATGAAAATAACTGTTGCCAACAGTTTTGCCAAACGGTTGGCTTCCGCATCACCGTTTTCGAAGTCGACAATAGTCTTCTGAGCCGCATTCTTGCCGTCTCGTAGCTGTTGTCGGTCCACTGCCGCCTCATGCTTGATCGAATGTTGGTGCTTCCGCATCGTCTGTCGTTGAATGTCGAGCCCACCCTCCCCGTCGCGGCCGTACTGGTAGCTGGGGTCACCGTGCACCATGCAGATTGAGCACCTCATACAGGGTTGACCCCATGAGGTCTGCGAGATGATGAGCCACGGGAAGTGCTTGAGCCATTTCTCCTTCGCCTTCTCCTGCCATTGCTTGACGGTCAGGACGTGGGGGTACTTGTCGTCCTTGTCAGCGGCGGCGGGTTTTGATGGGCGTGGACGAGGTGTGAAGCAGGGGACGGTAGATGGGGCAACACCTGGAGTGGGACGGGCAAAACTGAGAACACGCTGTTTGAAATTGCCGTTCCCAACTCTAACGCGAGAAAAAGAGATTGCAGGTGTGGTGGTAGCCACAGATGCCGAAACGGGCGGGGGCGACGACTCAGCTTCAGCCGTGCTAGGCTGGGTCGAGGTCTCTGCCGCATCTGACGTGGATGGCGAGGGGATAATAGGCTCGTTGTTGCAGGACGAATGACATTGGGGGGAGGAATTACAGGCGGAGGAGTCCCTAGTGCGGCAGTTATGGTTACTGGAATTGCAGCGGGAGCTTTCCGCGTTAAGAAATCTAACGCGGATACCAGGGGCGCCTCAGGTACCGCGGGTGAATCACGCTTGAGGCGGGTGCGCCATGTTCGGCTAGCATGGTGTGGTGTGGTGAGACACATGAGGATAGGACGGGACGAATTGAAACGGAGAGAGAGCAAGGATGGTCAAAGAAAGGCTTGGAGAAGAAAGGATGGGTGGTAAGGACCGTCCTGTCACGAACCGCGCCTCTCTGACGAGGGTCTCACGAAAGTGCAATGGCAGCCCATGCATGCCTTGTTTGCTGTACACCGATTGTCCTTGCACTCTGCCAGCGAGGGAGGGGGAAACGGCCTGGCAGCGGCGCCAACAACAGCTACCCGACAGATGCGTGGTAGCAACTGAGTCAGATGCGAAGTGCGCTGGCAGGAAAAATCCAAAACTAACCCCCGCGCCCACACGCAAAAATCATTACGCGTGATCACACAGGCAACACATCGCTGCTCCAATGGCCAGTTTGTCTCTTTCAGACGAAACTATACGCGATCTCTACTTGATCAGCTCCCTTGCTATAACTCTCCTGAAAAAACATATGAACATATAGCATTTGTCTGGGCTCTCATATGGCCCCAAAGGCAAAGTCTGCCGCAACATATGAACTATACATTTTGTGCCTGAAACCTAGACCAACAGACTAATTTAGTCTGCTAACGAGAGCCCTGCTCTGCTCATGTCGGCGGCGTTCCAGTGTTTTTGTCACGTGCAGCGCATGGATGTTTCTGCTCTGCTGATCTCATTTCGTTTTGTCGTGTGTGTGATTATCGTTCTGTACCCATTTTCTCGCATGTGTGCCGATTTTGTCAGTTTCAGATTTTCTTTTCAAGCGATTCGATCGTTCACCCGATCTGTATCAAGTGGGAAAGTGCCACGCAGCTGAGCTGGCAGCAGGCAGAAACTGTTGCTTGGCGTGGCATGTGAGGATCAGACAGTGCCACACGAAACTTTCAGTACGAATCAGGAACTTCGCAATTCACACCAGTGCGTGCTGCTGATGTTTTTACAGTGAATCAGCATCAAAGTCGCCTATTCTTTACAAGACATTAGTGATAACTTACATGTGACGAGATTTTGTCTTCAAAAATCTCGTAATCACGCAACCATTTCCTCAGCGTAACTGGAAGATATTCTCGACGAACGAGTGTATTTGGATGTCCCAGCTGTCGAAGTGAGCATTGCTCACGTCCTGACACTCCATTGCCATCTCGGAAGTGGGCATATCGGAAGGAAACTTCCAGGAAACTTTGCTCAGATAAGCGCGCAGAGTGTACCCCCGATACAAGTATGAGGCTCAGCCTACCCTAGTAAAATTAGGCTGAAATTTCAGACAACTCAAAAGAAAAAACTCTGGAAAATCAGACAAGGTACATAAATAAATTCTTTGAGTTCAGACTAGGTACAAAAAAAAAGTCTGAACGGACTCTGATTCAGACTCCAAAGTCTGATATCTAGGGCACTGCTTTGAACTGTACCCTAGTTGTTCCCGAAAGACTCTTCAGGGATGGTGGTGAAAAGTGTCCCAAAAGTCTCCCGCGGGATGGTTTTGGGACGTTTTTGGGAGCTGGGATTTTTGAGATGATAGCCTTCATGGAACCCTTGAGATATCGTGAATATGTTTGGTGATCGCCCCGACAAGGGCTGTGAAATTGGTACTACCGTACCTAGCCTTAGAACTTAATCAGCGGCTTAAAACAGGCGCCGTCTTCCATACCAAAATTATATGGTCAATATTGGTAGGTGTTCGGATATACAGACCGGTTGTTTTGGGCTGCCTTGAGAATAAACTATGACTGGCTGACAAATTGTTGATGACAAGCCTGATCCAGCACACATTGATCGAATGCTGGTCTGATATGGAATATAGATATACATCTACTTTGGAGGCCGAATGGAACCCAATCCTCCACAATGAAAAGCCCATGGAACAAAGAGGCATAGAGAACTTAATTGCTTTGCCGAAACGTGGTAGCTGATATATGGTAGCATTGTTCAAGGCAAAAGAGCTGGAACAACACACCCGCGCAATGTGCGGGGCAAAAACGGTCGAAACTAGGCATTGCAACGGATGCCATGCCAGCCTGGAACCAAAAAACTCCTTGCCATCTACATGATAAAGAGCCTACAGTTCCTGTATCCTGACATAAAATCCGCAGGCACTGACCTGGGAACTCTTGCACACACCCCCTGAAGAATGCACCTTGTAAGGGAATGGGGGCCCCAGCCGTGGCTCCAACCAAAGGCGGCATCGGCACCTCCGTCCTCTACTGCTCTATGAATACGTGGGACCATACCACACCATGTGGGGAATGGGTTGTGTACGGTGCCAGAATGCAACCTACGCAATGCTTTCATATCCACTGCACACTGCACCCACTCAGTGGAGCAGGCTGTTCTTACCTGCACACTGCACCCAATGTTCTTACCTGCGCACTGCACTCATGTGCACTGCACTGCACTATTGCCCCTGTGGGTTCTTCTGCTGACCCTGTCACTTCTGACCGTCCTGCTGCCTATGCCATGCCCCCGCAGCAATGCACTCACTACTTCAGTCACCACTCAGTGCCCATTCTTCCTTCCGAGACCAGGCAGCACCTGATTGGAGGCACCACTTCAGTCACCACTTCAAAATGGCAAATCTTCATTATCCTTGGCCAGTACCTGCTCCCTCTCCATACGAACTCTGCTCCAGACACACTCTGCCTCGCTGCTCCTCCCATCCCAGCTTGCACGCACCTCAGAGCATGGCGACAGGCCTGCCACTCCTGAAACGAACTACGGCATGAGAGACCTATTGATGCTGCCTACTCCTGGTTCTCTTTTTGTTCCCGATCCTGGCCGCGCTGCTGCTGCTGCTGCTGCTGCTGCTGCTGCTGCTGCTGCTGCTGCTGCTGCTGCTGCTGCTGCTGCTGCTGCTGCTGCTGCTGCTGCTGCTGCTGCTGCTGCTGCTGCTGCTGCTGCTGCTGCTGCTGCTGCTGCTGCTGCTGCTGCTGCTGCTGCTGCTGCTGCTGCTCCTGCTGCTGTTGCTGTTGCTGCTGCAGTTGCAAATGCTGCAGTTGCTGCAGCTGCTGCAGCTGGTGGTGTTGAAACTGCCTCTGCGCAGACTGCCACTGCTGTAGCTGCTGGACCCTCTGTAGCTGCTCCTCCTGCTGCCTCGCCAACACCTCGTGCTGCTGCTGCAGCAGATGTTGCTGGTGCGGCTGCTGTTGCAGCGACTGCTGCTGTGGCTGCTGCTGCGGCTGCTGTTGCAGCGACTGCTGCTGCGGCTGCTGTTGCAGAGACTGCTGCTGCTGCCCCTGTTGATGCAGTAGATGCTGTAGCAGGCGCTCCTGCTCCAACTCCTGAAGTTGCACTGCTTCTTGCTGCTGCTGCTGCTGCTGCTGCCGAGCTTCCTCCGCTATTACTCCAGTCGGTGCCAGTTTGTGCTGCAGTTCCATCAATCACTCCATGTGAGGCTGGAGTGCCCACTGCTGCTCCTGCTCCGCCTGCTGCTGCTGCTCTTGCCGCTCACGCTGTTGTTGTTGCTGCTCCTGCTGCTGTTGCTGCTGCCCCTGCTGCCCCTGCTGCTCCTGCTGCTGCTGCTGCTGCTGCTGCTGCTGCTGCTGCTGCTGCTGCTGCTGCTGCTGCTGCTGCTGCTGCTGCTGCTGCTGCTGCTCCTGCTGCTCCTCCTGCTGCTCCTCCTGCTGCCTCTGAAGCTGCTGATGCAAAATCTGCTGCTGCCAAAGCACCTGAAGCTGCACCAACTCTTTTCTGCTCCACTCTTCCTCCTGCTGTTTCTGCCGTTGTTGCTCCTCCTCCTCCTCTTGCCGCCGCTTTTGCTGTTTCTGTTGCTCCTCCTGCTGCCTTGGATTCTGCATCTGCTGCTGCCGCCGCCGCTGCTCCTGCTCTCGCTTCTCCTGCTGCAAGAGTATCACCGTCTTGAGCTCTTCCGTCCACTCCCCCCCCATTATCCACCCACCTGCAGTCTCTCCTTCCCCTTCACCCCACAAGCTCTCTTCACTCCTGTCAAGTTCTTCGCCTGGTTGATTCCGCCTCACTCCCAACGTACCCACAATGTAACCCTCCTCCAAAACTTGGTCAAACCCATCTTTACCTCTAGAGCCTCCTAGTCCGACTGTTGCTGATTCTTGTGGCAGCTGCTGCTGCTGCTGCTGCTGCTGACGCTCCTGCTGCTCCTGCTGCCACACTACCTCCCGTTCATGCTGTGCCTGAAGCGCGGCTAGATTCATCAAAAGCAGAGACTCATGTGCCTTGGCACCTGCAACGACGTGTGCTGAGGGCGATTTCTCAGTCGCCTCAAAGGGCGATTTCTCAAAAGGCCTTCTGTCACCACTTGAGATGGCGTGTGCTGCTCGCCCTGTGAGTGCCGTGCCTGACTGGTGCTGTGCTGCTGCCTGTTGTTGCGCTGCTGCCTGGTGTTGCGCTGCTGCCTGTTGTTGCACTGCTGCCTGTTGTTGCGCTGCTGCCCGGTTCTGAACCTGTGCGAGAAGAGCTGCGAATGAGGGACCTTGAAGAGGGCGACAATGAAGGGAGGGGGCGTGGAAGGAGGGGGCGTGGAAGGAGGGGGCGTGATGGGACGGACCTTGAACCTGTGTTGCTGTCTGCATTATACCGGCTGCTGCCTGGTTCTGGGCATGGGCGAGAAGTGCGGCAATGGAGGGATCTTGAGGAGAAGGGGCTTGAAGCGAGGGGTTTTGAAGAAGTGAGGAACGTTCTTGACCGCGCATTGCTGTCTGCATTGCACCAGCTGCTGCTGCTGGGTTGGGTTCAACAGTGGCCGCTGCTTGAGCTTGGACCATGCCTCCTGGCTGCAGCACGGGAGTTCCCTGGGAGAGCGCCAGAAGCAGCTGTGCCTCTCCTGCTCCCAGGCGAGCACTGCAGGGAGGGAAGTTGGGGAAGAAGTTAGGAAACGACAGGTGAGCTAAAAGGGAGGCCATAATCGACCCTGCATGCGCCATTGCTCCTGGTTGCAGCATAGAAGTTCCCTGGGAGAGCGCCAGAAGAGCGCCAGAAGAGCGCCAGAAGAGCACCAGAAGTGCACCAGAAGTGCACCAGAAGTGCACAAGAAGTGCACCAGAAGAGCACCAGAAGTGCACCAGAAGTGCACCAGAAGTGCACCAGAAGTGCACCAGAAGTGCACCAGAAGTGCACCAGAAGAGCACCAGCAACGGCAGAGGTTTTCTCGCTCACCTTGCACCTCTCTGCGGTAAGATTCCCTGACTCTGAAGCATCTGCTCCGCTTCTCGCTCTGCAATGCGTACACACACACACACACACACACACACACACACACACACACACCCACACCCACACACACACGCACACACGCACACACACGCACACGCACACACGCAAACACACACACACACACACACACACACACACACACAAAAGACACACGCACACGCACACGCACAACACACATGCACACTCACACGCACATGCACACGCCCACACATACACGCACCCATGGATGCACGAAAGCACGCACACAAGCACACATAAAAGCAACAAGATACCTTTTCAGAATACATTTATAAGCAACACAGGCTATGCAATTCTCCCCCCCCCCCTCTCCCTCCCTCCCCAAACCAAGCTCAGCAGCGTGTGTACTGTACCAGACATCGCAAGCCCATTGCAGCAGAATCTGTCACGTGAAGTTTACCAAAGCATCACCGTTTCAACCACATTCTTCCCTTCCTTTCCCTCTCCCCCCATCCCACAACCTGCCTCGAGGGTGAATTCACGTGTCCCCCAAGCATCTGCAATTGTGGGGATGGGCTCCCTTCCTGCAGAACTAGAGCTAGAACAAGATCTAGATCCAGAGCTGCACAGGGTGACTTTTGACTTGAATCAATCATAACTCGACTTCCCCTTCCCCTCTTCCCCCTCCTCCCCTCCCCTTTCCCCCCGCGCCCTCTCCTCCCCCCCCCCACTCCCCCCCCACCCCCCTTTTCTCCTCCCCTATTTCCCCCACCCCCAACCAACCTCGGCGGTGAGTGTTCATATGCCCTCCAAGCGCCTGGGACTGCGCAAATCCCTTCCCGCAGAATCTGCATTCATACAGCAACCCGCCACCACTGCCACTGTCGCCCAGCGAGCCTCCTGCCAGCGGCTGTAGCGGGCCGGCCATGCAGAATCCCGGGGCGGCACGGTGGAAATCCGCGGCTGTAGCGGCGTTCAGAGAGAGGGACGCACTCAAGGAGTCGGTGGGATTGACTGACGGCAGTGGTGCTGTGCCCTGCCCTGCCATCCAACCGCCTCTCATCCCTTCTAACCTATTCATTCCCTCATTTGATTCCCCCATTATTCCCCCACTCATCACTCTCCCCAATCCTCCCCCCATCCCTCTCCCCAATCCTCCCATCCCTCCCATGCGTGTGTCCATCCCTCCACCCATATCCCAGAGCAACCCTCGTTCCATCTCCCCCACTGACACCCCGCCCTCTATCCGCCCGCCCTCTATCTGCCGCGCCCCTATCTGCCCGCCCTCCCCTCCTTGCCTAAAGCCCGCACTCCCTCCTAATCCCAATGCGTGCAACGTGGTGGCGTTTCCTTCTAGGGTGGTGGTAGCAGCAGCAGCAGCAGCACTTGGGTTGGCAGCAGCGGAGTTTTGCTGGAGCAGATGGGCTAATTGAGAGTGCAAGTCACTCCCGTGTCTAAGAACGTCTAGATCAGCAGCGTGATTGGTTGATCCTCCTGGAAATCCTTCTCCGCCTGAACCTCCTCCTGCTGCGCCGAAGCTGCTGCCGCCAAAGAACCTTGGAAAAGCAGCAGCGTGACCTGCCACGTGGCCAGCTGATTGGCCTGCCACGTGGCCACCAAAATGGCCAGCCACGTGGCCGCCCAAGTGGCCAGCAGCAGCGGCTTTTACCTCGTCTTCGCTCGGTAGAATCCGCCGCTGCTTGCGCCCGCGCTGCTCGCGGACGCCGCCACCGCTACCTATTGTAGTACTACTATTTCCGCGGAGCCCGCTGCCTTCTCCGCCAGCAACTCCGCTCTCCGCGACCGCCAGATCCAGCCTCCGCGTCAGACGGAGCCCAGACTGGCGGCTCTGCGCGCTGCTGCCGGTGGCGCCGCTGCTGCTGCTGCTGGACGCCGCGCCGGGGATCGTGTTGCCGGAATACGCGCGGGGAAGCTGACCCGGGGAACCCGCCACGGCGAAACGGGCGATTCTTCCCGGAAAAGGCGGAAGATGCGGGGTGCGTGGCGGATCCGGGGTGCGGAAGGGACTCGCTGCCGGAAGAACCGGCGTGGGATCGCTCAGGGAAACCTCAGGGTGTCTTTGAACGGTTTGAATGAAGCGAGGATGATCAGGGTCTCGTTCGGGCGAGCCGTCCATCAGAAAGAACAGTTGGCTTCCGTAGCTTTCAGCGTATTCAGAACTCGGTGATTCGGACTGCTATTTCATTGTTGAACAGGTTCATCGGGTGGGGGGGGGGGCGGGAAATTTTACTCGTGGATGACGACACATGTTGCAGATTCGGGTGTTTCACCCAAATCAGTGGCGCTCCTTTCGCAATACGCATCAATTAGTTACGCCAAGTCGTACTACCGACCTTGCCCCTCCAAAATCGGTGAATTTCAGATGTAGAATAATTTTAGATCCAGGCCTAGACTCCGAAGAGGCGTGTTTGCCCAGTGGCCAAATCATCGCCCCTAGAGTCAGATCTCATTCCTGCCCAGAACCTTGTCGTAGTAGAGGTTTCCGTTGAAACAGACACATGGCGAATGCATGCTGATATCATGCCGCACTCGAATAGCCTGACTCCACGTTGCGAAGAGATAGAAAGACAGCCCTTCGATTCCCAATCACGACCTTAACCAGCTTGGAGGAAGCTGGCAAGCAGCTTGTTTCAAAGCTGGCATGTTTGGAGCCCTAGTGGCCAGCAGGGAACTGTGTGGTGCTATGATAGAAACGGGACGGGAATGTGATGGTGGGGCGGGGCCTTTCCCATACAGAGCTTTGCCCTCATTCCTTCCAAAGCAAGCACAGCGCGCGCAACCTCCGTTCCGCTAAAGTTCGCTCCCCGCCACCCACCGATGTACTTGCTGGTGGGCTCGACCGCCTCCCCGTTCTCCGCCATAGCACACTGTGTCTGGGTTTTTCACCATGTCATATGTGAGCTGGCGCGCCAGCTCACTGTTCACCACCATGTGCCCACTGGTTAGGATTTCTGCTTTGCTGATTGATGTGGAGGGCTTCTGCTTGGTGAAACGTACGCAAATGCTAGAATCAAATTCATCCAGAGCACAATGGAGTTGGAAAATGGAAGTTATGACAGTCTTGTCTACGGCCCTGTTCTGTTGGCGCATTAGCGGTGCTCAGCCCCAACGATAAGCATTCTCGGAAAGCGCATAACAAGGCTTAAAGCCCACGTCAAGCCTCCCAAATCGTTATTATCTCCCGAGCCTCTGGTGCGGGAGTTGTCCGCGCATTATGCGTGCACAAGAACGCTGTACTCTCAGTGCGCTGAGAAAATTCCACGAGCTTGGTTCCACGGGCAAATTTCCCGCATGGCCTGTGCGAGCCCTACACGCTCGTGGAGGGGGGATTGAAGAGGCGCACAACCAGTAACGGGCAGATCCAAACGCCCGTTTTTGGGTATTTGTTCGGTGGAATACTCACCCCAAAAACAATCCAACGGCGAGCCAGTAAGACTGACACATCCAGAGCATCAATTCGCGAAATTTTGACTTTGGAAGTGTGCCAGGGCAGTGTGTGGAGACAAGTTTTCGGGCACACGGGAAAAAAAGGTTCGTAATTTTGTCGATTAGTAAGCCCTTCGACGAGGCTGCAGGCCCTTTTGTATTTCGAGGAAGACGCTGCCCGCAGTAACTGTGCGGCAGTTACGAATGGCCTGTGCGCCAACAGAGCAAGGCCTATGTGAATATACAGTAATTTTACTTTCCGTATGTTACCAGCTGCATTCCTCAAACAAGTACACTCTGTTAATAGCCTCAGTCCCACAAACTCAGACCCTCAAGCGAATCAGGAAAAGATCCGATTGCCCCCCACCTCGATATCGATTCATTGTCCAGCTTTGTTCTTGAGATTTGTCCGAAGGGTACAACTTTCGGCTTTGGCTTGAATCACTCCAAAGGCGGCAGCGGACCAACGAAAGCGCACGAATGGACAAGACAGTCCCCACTTGCATTCTAAATTCCAGGGCAAGAACACAATTTCTGCACGGTATTTCCCTACAATCATCAAGGCTCTCGGTGATATGTTTGAGTGACATACCCAAGGAACTACTGGTGTGCTGCTATCATGCAAGAACGGTTGTGGGGCTTGTGGCTTTGGAACGTCTTGTTCCTGAACCCCTGCACACTCACGCTCAAGAACAGTTTCCACAAAACAAGGAGAGAGGGAGCGGGGAGAGGCGAAGAGAAGGATAGGTGGGTGGGTGAGGGGGGAGCGAAAAGGTGATGGGTGTGGTATGGAGAGACACGGAGTGGAAGTTCACGGCGTGTGCAAAGTACTGCATGTAGCTCGACGTCGAGCTACGTCGGGGTTGTTGGGCAAGGTACTGAGCTGAGGGGTGCCATTTCTGTGTTCAAAGTACGCTTTAAAAATTACTGACGCCAGCATCGCCATTTGTACGGAAATAAGATGATGGACACAGAAACGGTCAACCAATGAAAACTTGAGAGAATCTTTACAGTGTTTGCCAGACCACGTTAGACAAATTCACAGATTGGCATGAACTGTAATCTCGAACATTGCGAACATTTTCATTTCGTGACGAGATGCTCGCAGCCAATAGACGCTCTCGAAAAAGCATTTGCAATTTCAGGTTTTGGTCCAAGTTCAATTCTTCGACAGTCTCAATTCAGTTGTTACTATTAAGGCCGGCAGTTGTCCTGAGCGGACAGTTCGTCGCCGGCAATGTGTTCAGAGTGTGCCGTTCGACGTCGATCGACGTCAGGGGCCGGACGTCACTTGACGTCGATCTCCGACGTTAGAACTGCGTCCAAACCACGACAAAATATTTCGTACACGCCGTCAGTGACGAGAACAAAATTCAGGCGACTGCTGCTCACTGGAAATTACATAAAGGTAAGTTACTCTTTCCTGCCCTAACATTTCCAAGAATGCCTTCTGTTTGTGGAGGACGAATCCACTAGACAAACACATCCATCCATCCAGCACAGTGCCAAACATTCTGAGATTTTCAGCGACCTTCGGGCCAAACTCAGGGTGAATAAACAGTGTGTTACGCTGGGCCAACAAATTGCTGACCAGAACACGGAGAGGTCTGTAAGCGGCGGAAATTATAGTACCCAGAGAATAGCAGACTAACCGTTTTTCTAACCGAACCATAAAGCGCAAGGTTTCGACTCCAGCGTGCTTGGTCCAAACATGCCAGCCCTCAAAATAAGCTTTGATACGGAGCGTGTTCACATGCCAGACCTCCTCACAATAAAGCGCCAAAGGAACCGACATTTAAATATTTTTTTTTCGCTTCCAACGTTTGAAGGCATCGGGTGGGGGACTTCGGGTTTCGGGTCCTGAAAATACCTCCGATTATTTAAAAGTGATGCCAGCGTGAGTTGCCTATAAGTGCTGCTGAGTATGAGTCGTCGAAAGGAACAAAGAGGTCCAGAGGAACCAACTAGCCGTCGCCAATGTCAGTTTCATGTGAACTGGGTAACCGAAATCTCACTAGGCTGGCTCTGCGTCTCAGGTCAATAAGAAAGGGCGGCCTCGCGTGCGACACGAGGCACTGGGCACGATCTCGTCCTACGGAAAATCGCATCATTCGATACAGATGCATCTGCTTCACAAAAGCAGCAGCAACAGAGGGATCGAAATCGTGCAGGGGCTGGAGCAATTGCGTTCATTCTGTCAAAACCGCATAATTAGTCATCATTTTCTGATTTTTTTCATCCCAGGATTCCATTTAAGTAGACATAAGAAATTCATCAAGCATTGTGGACCTGGTACAGACACATATAACGATATGTTCATTGTCAAAAACTCTCAGCAAATTAATATCAAAATCAAGAATCAACAGTTGCCTAAACATCGAAAGATGTGTATACGTTTAATTGGCATCGACTATCAACAGGGTAACTATGCAGTACGTTCATCAGAGTTGTACCGTATGGAACGCTCTACACGATTTATTGGCGGAAATCGGTGCGGTGTACCAACATGGGAACATGCACCGAGCATACCAAAGAGGAGCGATTCACCACCAGTTCTGTAACGAAGCACAACATTTCCAGAAGCGGGGAAATTGTTGCATGCCAAAAACCTACGTGAAACAATTGTATCGAGCTCTTTTTTACGTGTTTCTGAGCACACATGGTGCACAGGGCGTTTCGGTTCAGTGGATGAACAAGTTGCTGGGTGGGTAGGGCACATGCTCCACTTTGTGCTTGACGAGCGGGTGTAGTACAGCCTTCGCAAGTGAATCCTCTCATGGAAAAAACGATGCCCAAAGCGTTATTTTCTTCTTTCTTTCTTTCTTTTTCTTTCTTTTCTTTTCCTTTTCTCCATTCCTAAAAAAATGTGAGATTGGTGCTTGGTGGTGTGTTCGAAACACTTCAGGGTTTAGGACTGAGTTACGTCAAGCTGAGATACGAGGTGGCTGGTGCTGGCCTGCCTCCGCTTTGGCCGTTACCTGGTAACATCAGAGACAGGATAAGCAGGATTGGAAAAACAAATGCGGGCACACGGGATGGGCAAGAAGAAGAGCATGGATAAGACAAAAAGGTATGAGTTTGTTTGTTATACGTCTAGCAAAACTGCGACAAGCCAAAAGGCAGAATAGGAAAGTCGAGACGGGAGCAGACGAGGGAAAATTATGACGGGGAGGAGATAAAATATTTGATAGCATGGACAGATGAGAAAGAGGAAACTGTAGGTGCTACAGTCAGAGACGACAGGCAGGCAGTAGTGCAAGGATGAGAGCCGTGAATCTGTGCTGAACGGAGCCGCAATATGCACAGTGCTTGGAATGCTGCCTTCCCTGTGTTGTGAGGATGCCATTTGAGAATTGCATGCATCAGCAGTGACACATCCAGAAGTGATTTCACAGCATGCCATGCCATGCCATGCCATGCCATGCCACGCCATGGCATGCCACGCCATGCCAAGCCACGCCATGCCACGCCATGGCATGCCACGCCATGCCACGCCACGCACCATGCTGAGAGCTTGAAAGGCTGCCTTCACCGTGTTGTGAGGATGCCTTGAGCCAATCACCTGCTCTTTCACACTCCCCCCCACACACAACCACACACACAAGTGCCACCCACCCGACATCCACCCCAGAATAACACGCACACACCCACACACCCCCCAGCCCCCCCACACCTCTCCACGCTCTTCCCCCCCACACACACAACCCACACACCCCCACACCCTCTCCCCCCCACCTCCACACACACACATGGAGACACACAGGCAAGACAGAGTAGAAAATTTGAGACACGCACAATCAGATGAGATGACTCCCATCCAAACGACTCGCCTCAAGAGGCGGGCAGCCTCAGGAGGCCCGGCAGCCTCAGGAGGCCTGGCAGCCTCAGGAGGCCCGGCAGCCCAAAAAAAACAGCGTGCCCCTCTGAGGCGCCTCAACAACAGCGCTCCACACACCAAACCCAACCCATCAACTTAAATCATAACAATGTACCCAGAAATGTAATCTGATCCCACGTTCCTCTGATCCCACGTTCCTCTGATCCTATGCGCCTGTGACCGCTCACCCCACCTGCCCCTCACCCCACCTGCCTCTCACCCCACCTGCCTCTCACCCCACCTGCCTCTCACCCCACCTGCCTCTCACCCCACCTTGGTCTTGACTGCCTGGAAACCCGCGAGTCTCAGAATGCCAGCCAGCGTGCTCCCGGCACTCATGCCTGATCCCTTGCGCGCCGGCCACATGTATACCTGCCACGCACAGGGACCAGTCAGTTGAAGAATTATCGTGTTTAGGGCTAATGATAGTAGTGGCAGCGATCTGTCAGCTCTGAGGCAGCTCCCTGCACTCATGTCCGATCCCTTGCGTGCCGGCCACATGTATACCTGCCACACACAGGGCGAAGGGTTAAAGGAGCAGGCTAATAGTGGTGGAGTTCGGTGGGGTAGGGCTCCAAGGCTCCCTGCACTCATGCCCGATTCCTCGAGTGCCGGCCACATGTATACCTGCCACGCACAGGGACCAAGGTTGAAGAAGTTCACGAAATAAGGGCCTTGGGCAGGACTTAGGTGATTAGACTCCAGGAATCCCTGCATCTGTGCCCGACCCCTTGGGTTGCCGACCCCTTGCGTGCCCGATTCCTTGGGTTGCCGACCCCTTAGGTGCCCGATTCCTTGGGTGCCCGATTCCCTGGGTGCCCGATTCCTTGGGTGCCCGATCCCTTAGGCGCCCTCCCCACGTGTGCCTTTCCAAGTTCCAGCCCCTTACAGGTTGTTGCAAGCACTTTTTGAGAACATTCGAACAACGCCTCCAACCCCATGCACGCCATGCCATCCCACCTGTGCCTTTCCTGCCACCCCACCCCACCCCAACCCCGCACCCCGCGGTGCAGCCATCTTCCATAACCTATTGCTTGACTGTCCCCACCTTGGTCAGTCGATTCGCGCTGCATTAATAGGCCACATCACCCCGCCTTTGACAAAGGCCACGCCAACCAAGCCATCACCCCGCCTTTGACAAAGGCCACGCCAACCAAGCCATCACCCCACCTTTGTCTTTCCGTATTTCGCCATCTGTGCCTCGGCGATCGTTCGCCCTCTGTAGCGATCAAAGTAGTGCAGATTCCTCAGCGCTCGCAGGTACGCCTGCAGGGGGGATAGGGAGGGAGGGGGAGGGAGGGGGAGGGAGGGGGTAGATGGGGAGACGGGATGAATGCACCATCGTTCCTTCGCCCTCTGAAGCGGTCACAGTAGTGCAGATTCCTCAGCGCCCGCAGGTAGGCCTGGTGGTGACACAGGGAGGGGGGGGCGGGGAGGGGTTCGATGGGGAGACTGGACGGGCGTAAAGTTGCCCATTTTGTTCGCCCTCCTCCAAAACGATCAGACAAGTGCAGATTCCTCTGAGCCTGCAGATAGGACTGGGGGAAAGTACCGGGCAGGGGGAGGCGGATTGGGAAGAGAAGAGAGGAGAGGAGAGGAGGGGAGACGGGGGGATGGGGGCGGGGGGGTGGTGTAGATGGGATGGGCATAGCAAAAGATTGCTTCATCGTTCATTTTTCCTATAAACGAGATCCCTCCGAATGCCGCGCACCGCACTGCACTGCACTACTTGATTCATCTCACCGCACTGCACCGCACTGCACTGCACTGCACTGCATTGCTCAAGTTATCTCGCCCTTGCACACCCACCTTATCAACCGCCAGCCCCATTTCTGCCGACTTGCCCTTGCCATACCCCACCGTGCCTTGCCCGTTCCCACACACCACCAGTGCTGTAAAACTCAGCACCTTGCCTCCCTGGCGGGGGACGCAGGTAGAGGGGGGGGGGGCGGGTGGGAAGAAACGTTGAGAGTGGGGGGGGCAGGGAGGGAAGGAGGGGAAGGAAAGGCAATGGGGTAACGAAGAATGGGAGTCTACTGCCCGTTCCCACACACCACCAGCGCTGTAAAACTCAGCACCTTGCCTCCCTGGGGGAATGAGGAAGAAAGCGAAGAAGGGAGGAAGGAAAAAGGGTTCCCAAGTACCAGAAGAGGGGTCAAGCACAGAATAGGGGCGCAGGGGACTCATTCAGCGTTGAGGCGCCTCAAAACTCGTGTCAATACAAACAGGATTCCGGGTACTGAGTTTGATTTGAGCCCAGAAGAAGGCGGCAGAGGACCCATTACGAAAAGGCTCAGCGAAGATGTGACAGGAGTTGGCAACGTAAGGGATGGAAAGGCTTTTGACTTTTGAGTCGACTCGAAAGTCAAAAGTCAACTTTTGAGTCGACTCGAAAGTCAAAAGTCAACTTTTGAGTCGACTCGAAAGGGATGGAAAGGCTTTTTGACGCTTGAAAAAGATGGGAGGATGTGACAGCAGTTGCCAGATAAGGGAGTTGATTAGAGAGGATGAAGCGATAGGAAATGCAGGGTACATAGAAAGCAGCAGGGGGTTGGGGGTGGGGAAGGGAAGATGGAGGGGGGAGGGAAGCGACGATGCGAAGAAGAAGAAAGCGCAAGGAAAATTGGGAGTGGGAACAGGGCAATGCGGAGGATATGAGGATATGAGCAGATGAGGAGATGGGGAGACGGGCAGATGAGAAGGAGGGGAAGGGAGGGCAGCGACGCACCTTGGTGACCTTGGCAGTGCGGTTGACGTCCACTATACGCATCTGGAATTGCTGTGGCAGGATGAAGCGAGGGGGAAGGGAGGGGAGGGTGGGCGAGATAGGGAGATGAGAAGGAGGCGAGGGAAGGAGGGGATGGAATGGGAGGCGACTAGGCGCCCTTGGCAGTGTGGTTGACGTCCACCATGCGCATCTGGAATTGCTGTGGCGGGATGAGGCAGGAGCGGGGGAATGAGGGGGGATGCGAGGGGCGAGAGAGTGGCGAGGGGCGAGAGAGTGGCGAGGGGCGAGAGAAGTGTCAGAAGGAGGTTATGCGGTTGACATCCACTATGCGCATCTGTAATTGCTGTGGTGTTTGCAGGGGGGGAGAGGGGGGATGGGGGTTGAGGAGGGATGGGCAAGATGGATGGAAGGTCTTCCCCACCCCCCCTCATCCCCCATCAGCATGGATGGAAGGTCAATTTGACATCCACTGTGATCAGATGCTGTCAACCGACGGAATGCTGTCGTTCAAATGAGTAACGGGGAAGGGAGGGGAGAAGCGGAGGGGAGAAGCGAAGGGGAGAAGTGGAGGGGAGAAGCAAAGGGGAGAAGCGGAGGGGAGAAGCGAAGGGGAGAAGCGGAGCAGATAGATGGTTGACTGCCATCCACTATAAAAAAAGGAAGGAGGCACAGGCTTTGAGGGGAATGCATACTCGATATAAACTCTCACCCGTTTCAACCGTTGCATGGACGGCGGTCGGCTGGGCTTCACTTTGAGCATCTTCTCAAACATGAATCGCTGCACGCGCCGCGGCATGCCCTCGAGCCGCCTGCCCATGTCGATAATATGCTCCAAACCCTCAACGTCTAACTCGGGGTGCAACCCCAACCCCGATTCTTCCTCCTCCAACGCTGACGTCAGCTCCGCCACGTCAGCGCTGATCGCGTCGGCGTTCGCCAGCGCGTGTGCCGGAAGCTCGTTCGTCCCCTCGTCCGCGTCATCCTTCTCGTCCTCGTCGACCTCTACGCTGCTTCCGCGAAGCTTCGGCTCCGCGCTTTCGCGGTCCGAGATTCCCCCTTCAACATCCGCTCCCCGTGAAACCTCCCTCGCGGAGACCACGTGGCTCGAAGATCCTATACGCGGATCGGATCTCGAGTCTCCGTCAAAGCCGCCGCCACCGGCGCCGCCGCCTGCGCTACCTGAAGCGGTTGTGAGAAGGCGGTGCGAGAGAGCAAACGGATGTGATAATAACGGGGTTTCGAGAAGACGCGATCCGGAAAATGGAGTCGAGAATTTGGCGGGAAGGTGGTGGTTTGGACGAGCAGGGAGGTGCGGAAGGGACGGCGGAAGCGGAGCGGATGGGAGGCGGAGGGAGAGGAGCGAGCGGAGGAGACGGGTGGAATGGCGAACGGACGCCATGGAATCACGCTCGAACCCCGTCCCTGCAGCTACTATTTGCTCGGTCCGCAGATTCCTAGGCTGATTAATACCTACTGTCTTGTGGCGTCGCGGCGGCTTGATCATTTTATCTCGGGCATGGCTGGAGCGGCATCCCCGCCGGAAGCATCTAGTGTATTGCTACAACGCCACCAGTGGGATTGTAGATGTAGAAGGAAAGCTAATTGTGATAAGGGTAACCACTGTATATCTCAAGTTCACACATCCCACTTCATCAATACCTACATCCAACCACTTGACTTTCACGCCCTTTATTATGAGGACTACCTGCTGTTGCACCATACATTGCCCTGATATCGAGACATCTAAAAAGGGGGCAAACCCGCCCTAACTGCTATCTCAAACCAAATGCATCATCAGCATGTCATGCCATGTGTATCATTCCATTTTTCACATGCCTCCAGGCCAAGTAACAATCAGCTTCCAGACGTCTCAATCCAAGCACACCACCACCATCACCATAGAATCACCGCCACCACCACCATCATGCGCTGCTCTGCAGCATGCCATTCAAGTCGATCCCCACAACAGTGGGTTGTTGTGTGTCATCCGTGTGCGCGCCTTCGCCACCAGCGCACTTGCCAGCAGTGCCAACCCCCCATCATCACGCAATGCTCTGCAGCGTGGCAGTAAAGTCAATGCCGACGACAGTGGTGTTGTCATGTGTCCTCAGCGTGCGAGCCGTTGCCACCAGCGCACTCGCCATTGCCTCTGCTCTGCGTTGCTGCCCTCCCCTCCCCCCTCCTCCTGCTCCTGATCTCTCTCTGCCATGCTCCCTTGCATCACGCCAGTATTGAAACCTGTAACGTCCCTAAAGGTGGTTTGCTTCCGAGGCATCTCAAGGCAAACACAACATCATCAAGCAGTGCCCTGCAGCATGGCAGTGAAGTCGATTCCCACAACGGTGGTGTTGTCGTGTGTCCTCAGTGTGCGAGCCTTTGCCACCAGAGCACTTGCCATCGCCTCTGCTGCGCTGCCCTCCACCCCCGCCTCCTCCTGCTCCTTCCGAGCCTGCTTGGTCCGTGCCAACACATGATGCAAGGAGGACAGAAGTGAGGATGGTAGGGGCACAATATGGGACGAGGAAAATTCGATTTGAGGAAAAACTATTGCGGATGCGTGCAGTGGGGGAGATGGGAGAAAATGCAACGTACCAAGGGGACAAAACAAAAATAATTTGATGTGACAAGCAAGGCATCAACTGTACGTCACAGTGCAATACAAAATATTGTGGGGCGTATTGTACACATGAATACATCATTGGGACGATCTTGTAGGCGCATAAAAAACCACAAGATACTGTTTTTAGGCACCTCAAAAATCACAAGCTATTGTAGGGCGTGTCGTACACATGAATACATCATCGGGACGAACTTGTAGGGCGTATTGTGCTCGTTTATAAAATCTGACAAGGTCGAGGCATACAAGATATGACAATATCCAAAAACGTCGCCTCACCTCTAGTGCCACTTGAATGGCTCGTTTAACTGACATCACGTCCCATAAACCGTCACTGTAGACATGTATGCACGCACCATGCATATACATGCATGCACACACATGCACATGCATACACATGCTTGCAAACACATGCACATACATGCAACCACAAGGAGAAACATGCATACGCATGCATACCCACTCATTCACACATGCACACACATGTACACGCATGCGCACAGATGCATACACATGTACACACATGCATACACATGTACACACATGTACACACATGTACACACATGTACACACATGCATACACATGTACACACATGTACACACATGCACATACACGCATACACATTCGCATACATGCATGACCCGCATACGCAACACAGAGAGACATGGAAATGAAGCAACGGTAATGAAAGAAGTATGTTTCAATGCAGCTCTCGCCCCCCTCATGTCCCCCCTTGCAATCTCCCCCCACCATCAGCCGCATGGGCATCGTTCACCTGGGAATGACTCCAATGACAGGCTTTCTCATCCCCCCTTCTTCAGGCACGGGCAGCTGTAGGGGCGCATGGATGGATGAATGGGTCCGAGGACTGCCCCTCGTCCAGCTCTCACGCTCCTCCCATCCCCCCTTGCCATCTTACCCCACCATCAGCACCAGCACAGAATCATCACTACAATCACCCACCTGGCAATGACGCCAATGACGGGCTTGCTCGTGCCCCCTTCTTCAGGCACGGGCAGCTGCAGGGGCGCATGGATGAATGGGTCCGAGGAGAGTCCCACGTCCTGCTGCTTGAGGAACTTGTCTCCGAACACACGCGCTATGTTCATGCCTGCACTCGAGGGGTGAAGGGGGAAAAGTGGGGGAGGTAGGGAAGGGACGAAAGGACAGCCCCACATCTTGCTTGCTGCTTGAGGACCTGTTCCCAAACACACACGCGACACCCATGCTTGTTAGGGGAAACAGGTGGCGAGGGGTGGAGGGGAAAAGGTTGGGCGTGAGGGGAAAAGGTTGGGCGTGAGGGGAAAAGGTTGGGCGTGAGGGGAAAAGGTTGGGCGTGAGGGGAAAAGGTTGGGCGTGAGGGGAAACGGTTGGGCGTGAGGGGAAACGGTTGGGCGTGAGGGGAAACGGTTGGGCGTGAGGGGAAACGGTTGGGCGTGAGGGGAAACGGTTGGGCGTGAGGGGAAACGGTTGGGCGTGAGGGGAAACGGTTGGGCGTGAGGGGAAACGGTTGGGCGTGAGGGGAAACGGTTGGGCGTGAGGGGAAACGGTTGGGCGTGAGGGGAAACGGTTGGGCGTGAGGGGAAAAGGTTGGGCGTGAGGGGAAACGGTTGGGCGTGAGGGGAAACGGTTGGGCGTGAGGGGAAACGGTTGGGCGTGAGGGGAATCTAACTGCAGCCCAACAGCCCACAGCCCCCCCCCATCTGCCCAGCCCACAGACCCTTCAACCCCTCATATTGCCCCTTCATCTCACCGCACAGCCGTGTGTCCCCATCGCGCATGGGCTTGCCAATGGACGCCAAACGCCCCTTCTCCACAGGGCCTGTCAGCCGATGGTCCTCCGTCATCTGCACCACACCCTCCTCGCTCGCACTGCCCAGGCTGGAGGGTTGGAGAGGGGTGGGGAGGGGTTAAGGACGGGTGGGGAGTGGTGGGGATGCGAGGGGAGGGCGCCCCTTCTCCACGGGCCCTGTCAGCCGATGGTCCTCTGTCATCTGCACCACGCCCTCCTCGCTCGCACTGCCCAGGCTGACAAAGCGGATGGGTGGGGATGGATGGGGATGGGTGGGAAAGGGTGGGGAAGGGTGGGAAATGAATGGGAGGGAAGAGAGAGGCACAGTAGGGAAATGCAGCATGAAGGTGGTGATCCATGCCCTTTCCTGTCCCATGCATGCACTGTGAGTCCCCAACCTGCTGTCGTCACTACACTTGAGAACTCACCCCAGCACGCAGTGCGAGTCTCCCAGGTTGCCTGCCTGCACCCACATGTGGTGGGGCGGTTGGAAAGCCAGTCCATTCGGGCCTCATTCGGGCATTGCCATTGTTTCCCCCTCTCCCCTCCTCCATCTTACCCCAGCACGCAGTGCGAGTCTCCCAGGTTGCCTGCCTGCACCCACACGCGGTGGGGCGGCTGGAAGGCCCGCCATACGAGCAGCACAGTGGCAGTGCAGCCCTCATCCTCGTTATTGAGCTCCTCCTCTGTTGCCTTGAAGGCCGCTCGCAGCACGTCGGTCGCGTTGCAGCTCATGCGCACCACCACGTGCTTTCCGCCCTTCAGCAGCTCTTGAGAAAGCTTTTCTGGGAAGATTCTGGAGGGTGGAGCAATGGGGGAGAAGGGGTTGGTTGCGGGAGAGATGGACAGGCAGGTGGGCAAAATAACTGGTGCTTGCAGCTCATGCGCACCACCACGTGCTTGCCGCCCTTGAGGAGCTCCTGAGTGTGGGGGGTTGGGGGGAGTGTGGAGAGGATGGGGAGAGGGTGTGAGCAGAAGTGTTTTTTACAGCTCATGGCCACCGCCACATGCTCGCCTCAAAGTACGGAGCAAACATTGGGAAAAGCAAACATTGGGCAGTACGTTGTCAAAGGTTTTAGAGTACTGTTCTTTGACCGTTGTAACAAAGTTATAATTTTCCAAACTCACATCTGCTTATGCCCCCCGCCCTTTTTTTAATGGTGTGTGAATTTCCATAACTAGGTTGGTGCGGTTTCATATGTGACGTGGATGTGGAAGGAATTCATTATTTGCAGGTAGGTGATGTGGTTGGAGCATTTCATCAAGTGGCTCAAAAGGAAAGAACTCTTGAAGATGCTTCTGAACTTGATTACGTATCTCTAACAATAAAACACCACAAAGCAAACCCCACACAGTCCGTTTGACACGCCGAAAAGTTGGAGAGAGGCATGAATGGCATCTTCTCTCCAACTTTTCGGCGTGTCAAACGGACTGTGTGGGGTTTGCTTTGTGGTGTTTTATTGTTAGAGGTACGTAATCAAGTTCAGAAGCATTTTCAAGAGTTCTTTCCTTGTGAGTCACTTGATGAAATGTTCCAACCACATCACCCTCCTGCCAATTACAAAATCTCTCCACATCCACATCACAACATGAACCCGCACCAACCTGGTTGTGAGTATTCTGACCTAGTTCGAAAAATAGTCAGGGGAGTAAACAGATGTGGGTTTGAGATTTGATGATTTCATAACAAAGGCAAAAAAAATAGTACTCTAAAACCTTTGACAGCTAGTCCAATTGGAGTGTATCCTACCACTCCACCATCTGAGGCGCCCATGCCACGCACACACTTGCAAAATCATACTCACCATTGTCACGGTCCACACAATGACACCAGAACAGAACCCCCAGCAGTAGCAGTGGCCTCACCTCTTCACATTGTCGGCGCACTGCCGGCCCGCATGGCCGTCAAACACACAGCAGATGCCCATCTGTAGTCCGCGCACATGCACGAAGGGGGGGGGGGGGGGGGGGGGGGGGGGGGGGGGGGGGAAGAAGGCAAGGGCAAGCATGGAAGTATCAAAAGTGAATATGAAGGGAACCGAACACAAACACACAACAAATGCCCATCTGAGGCCTACACACATACACATGGTGCAGGGGGTGGGGAGAAAGTGAGGGGAAAGTGAGGCACCATGTGAGGGAAAGGCAGAGATTTACAGTGTAGAACCAAACGATCGGTGCGAGGGACAAAAGAACGGATACACGTGTGTGTGTGTGGAAATTGAGGGTGGTGTAACGATTGCACCTTATGCACTGACGGCCTGCAGCAACCAACTCAATACACTCACAATCCACACACTCACGTCCAGCAAGCTTCTGAGTGGCCACTCACACGGAGACACGTCCTCCATGGACCGCGGCTTGCCTCCCTTGCTGCTGGCAGGCACCACACCACACACTCAGAGTCTGCATCCCCCCCCCTTCCCCCCCCCCATAGCATCCTGCACGCATCAACAAGGTCACTCACACCCCGTCACACTCACGTCCTGCAGGCCCCTTAGCGGCCACTCGCACAGAGGCACGTCCTCCATGGGCAGTGGCTTGCCTCCCTTGCTGCTGGCAGCAGTGGCAGCACCACACTCAGAGCAACACTCACTCACTCAATACAATCACACACACCCCGTCATGTGACACTCACATCCTGCAACCCTCTGAGTGGCCACTCGCACAGAGGCACATCCTCCATGGGCAGCTGCTTGCCTCCCTTGCGCGCCCGCATGGGATCGGCTGCTATGGCGATTTCACACGGGGCATCGGGGCACGGGTGCTCCACTTTGCTTGTGTCCGCCAATAGTCGCACCTGGGTGGCACGGAAGCAAAGGGGACGCGGGATGCACGAGGGATGGCGGAGGGATGGAAGAGGGATGCAAGAGGGATGGCGGAGGGATGGAAGAGGGATGGAAGAGGGATGGAAGAGGGATGGAAGAGGGATGGAGGAGGGATGGAAGAGGGATGGAAGAGGGATGGAGGAGGGATGGAAGAGGGATGGAAGAGGGATGGAGGAGGGATGGAAGAGGGATGGAGGAGGGATGGAGGAGGGATGGAAGAGGGATGGAGGAGGGATGGAAGAGGGATGGAAGAGGGATGGAAGAGGGATGGAAGAGGGATGGAAGAGGGATGGAAGAGGGATGGAAGAGGGATGGAGGAGGGATGGAAGAGGGATGGAGGAGGGATGGAGGAGGGATGGAAGAGGGATGGAGGAGGGATGGAAGAGGGATGGAAGAGGGATGGAAGAGGGATGGAGGAGGGATGGAAGAGGGATGGAGGAGGGATGGAAGAGGGATGGAAGAGGGATGGAAGAGGGATGGAGGAGGGATGGAAGAGGGATGGAGGAGGGATGGAGGAGGGATGGAAGAGGGATGGAGGAGGGATGGAAGAGGGATGGAAGAGGGATGGAAGAGGGATGGAAGAGGGATGCAAGAGGGATGCAAGAGGGATGCAAGAGGGATGGCGGAGGGATGGACGAGGGATGGCGGAGGGATGGAGGAGGGATGGAGGAGGGATGGAGGAGGGATGGAAGAGGGATGGAAGAGGGATGGAAGAGGGATGGAAGAGGGATGGAGGAGGGATGGAAGAGGGATGGAAGAGGGATGGAGGAGGGATGGAAGAGGGATGGAGGAGGGATGGAGGAGGGATGGAAGAGGGATGGAGGAGGGATGGAAGAGGATGGAAGAGGGATGGAAGAGGGATGGAAGAGGGATGGAAGAGGGATGGAGGAGGGATGGAAGAGGGATGGAAGAGGGATGGAAGAGGGATGGAAGAGGGATGGAAGAGGGATGGAAGAGGGATGGAAGAGGGATGGAGGAGGGATGGAAGAGGGATGGAAGAGGGATGGAGGAGGGATGGAAGAGGGATGGAAGAGGGATGGAGGAGGGATGGAAGAGGGATGGAGGAGGGATGGAAGAGGGATGGAGGAGGGATGGAAGAGGGATGGAGGAGGGATGGCATGGCATCAAGTGTGTCAGAAGGGGCAAAGGCTTGCCGGTCACATGGGGTCAGCGGCAATGGCAATGTTACACGGGGCATCTGGGCATGGATGTTCGACTTTACTCGTGTCCGCTAGCAGTCGCACCTGGGTGGCACGGGGGGAAAGGGGACACGGGATGGAAGAGGGATGGCGTGGCATCAAGTGTGTTCTCATCTCAAGGGGTAAGGGCTTGCCCCCATTGCACGCCCGCATGGGGTCGGCTGCTATGGCGATGTCACACAGGGCACCGGGGCATGGGTGCTCCACTTTGCTCGTGTCCGCCAGCAGTCACACCTGGGGGGAAAGGGAGGGCGGAAAGAATGCGTGATGGCATGGTATTGGCTGCTCTCGAGGGCAGCGGCTTGCCCCCCTTGCGTGCCCGCATGGGGTCGGCTGCTATGGCGATGTCACACGGGGCACCGGGGCACCTGCCTGTTGCTGGTGTCTGCAAAAAGTGGAACGTGATTAGCACATACCTACACACGCATAAACACACGCACCAGGACACATACACACACTCTTTTACACATGCACACACTCGTGCACCACACACCCACACGCGTGCACCGAAATCCCCCTTCTCTTCCACCCCCCCCCCCCCCCCCCTTCCTTTCCCCCCCTCACCCCCTCACCACAAACACACACGAACGCACTCAAGCAAGCACCCACCAGAATGCGTGATTGCGACCAGCACGTGATAACGTCCCAATCCGCCAGCTGGCACAGCCGCCCCTCCGTACGCACCAGGCGACACACTCATGCACACACACACACATACATCCTTGCACACCCACACACGCACCAGGATGCGAGACTGCGACCCGCACGTGATCACGTCCCCATCAGCCAGCTGGCACGGCCGCCCCTCCGTGCGCTCGCCCTCCTCGTCCGCCTCTGCGTTGATGGCCTCATCGTTCAGCAGCGTGCCGTTGAGCGACCCGCGATCCACCACCTCCCACCGCCCCGACTGCTCGAGTTGTGGTTGGGAGAGAAGAAGGGCAAAACGAAAGCAGGGTACGTGAAATGGACTCCTCCCTTTCTATTCGTGACAGAGGTTCAGCTGCGGGTCGTTCGCCTTCCTTCACCCGCCCTATTGTGACTTTCTAGGGCGATGCGAAAGATCGCCTAAAAAGTCACTCAAATGCACCAGGTCATTCTCAGTGACGTAAGCATGTTTGCTTCGCTGGCACCTCAATGGAACACGGTACGAGAAACAAACCACTTAAACGCACGCACCAGGGCGTTCCATGTAACATAGGCGTGCTTGCTGGACACCTCCCCATCGTTCAGCTGCAGGTCGTTGGCCTTCACCCGCCCTATGGTGGCGGACGGCCATGGCTCCAGCTTCTCATTCTTCAACACCAGCCTACCGCCTGATGCCGGCCCGCTGATCACCTCCAGCACCAGTGTGGCGCCTGGTTGTGCAAGTAAAGGGGTTAGAGGCAAGAGGTGAGGAAAAGACACACGTGACAAGCTTCCATCCCTCCAGCTTCTCGCTCTGTGAGCATTCCCCTCCTGCCTGATGCCGGCCCGCTGATCACCTCCAGTACCAGTGTGGCGCCTGGTTATAGAAACGGGGTGGGCAGTCGGGGTGCGAAACCAGGTTTTCGAAACGGGGTATGCCTGCCTACTACTCCATTCCCATCCTCTCTCCACGATTCATTCACCATCCTGCCTGCCTCCAACCCACCTTCCCTCCTAGCAGCCTTCTTTTTTGCAGCAGCTGCAGCATCAGGGACAGCAGCAGCAGGAACAGCCGCAGCAGCAGAAGCAGCAGCAGCCTCTCCGTCCCCCTCTCCATCCATCCCCTCCCCAGCATCATACTCCCTCACAGTCGACTCTCCAAACTTCACCCTCCCTTGCCTCCCCCCTCCCTCCTTCCTCGCGCGTTTATTCGCCGCAGCAGCCACCGCTGCTGCCTCCTCTGCCGCCTCTGCCTCCGCCTGCCGCCGCTCCTCCTCCCACTGCTTCTGCCGCGCTGCCCGCGCTGCCTCTGCTGCCTCTGCTTCCGCCGCTGCTTGCTGGTCCGCGGAGGCGGAGGGCTGCGAGGGCGGGAAGGACTGCTGCTCTATGTCCTCGCTCTCGTCGCCCCAGTCCTGGAAAAAACGGGGGGATTGGGAGGTTCGGTGGAGGTTGGGGGGCGGAGGAAGGGAAGGGGAAGGGGAGGGAAGGAAGAAGGGGGAGGGGAAGGGGGAAAGGGGATTAGGGGGAGAGGAAAATATGGCATCGCCATGCTCTGATTCTTCACAGTGCGGTTCGTGCTTGTAGAAAGAAACGTGTACTCTGAGATACGAGTTGTGAATGAGCAATGCAGAAACCATATAGCTGCTGCTACAGCTGCAGCTGCAGGTGATTCGCACCTGAGAGAACAGAAGCGGCACGCGAGTTTCGCCATTAGCAGCCGCTGCAGCCCCAGCTGTAGCCGCTGTCCCTGCGGGCGCCTGGCCAGGCCCGTCGTACCCATCACCGTCTCTCCGTTTCTTCCGCATGCACAGATAGCACACCCCGATGGCGACCACCGCGCACACGGTAACGCTCGCGATGACCACGTGCGACGACGGAGCCATGTCGGCGAGCGAACGGCCTGGATGCGAATCTAGGAAATGCCCGAGAAATCGGACGGTGGAGAATGCCGGAAAGAAGGTTGCGCCGAGGGCTTGCGGGAATGGGAAGTTGTGGCTCGCGCGGGAAAAGGAGTCGTCTGACGCGTCGCTGTTGCGCCAGGTGTGGGGTGGTTGCCACGTGGCGGCTGGGGACTGCTCCAGCAGCATGGACCGAGAAATGTAATGTTGGACCATTCAGAAAGCAACACGTGGACGAACCGCGGATTGCAGAAGCGAGGTAAGACCCGAGACTAGTACTAACCAGCAGATTCACATTTCAAACCACGTCCGAGGTTCGGCAAGGGATCGTCGCGACGCGAAGAAGAGCATGGGTTCACTGAGATGGAAATAAGCAGATGCATGCGTGGACTGGCGTGAGCACGAAATGCGGAATGTGACGGAATTGCTGATCCTAAAACCACAATGCTGCTGGGATGACGGCGCAACGGGGGGCGGAGTTTCCTAGGTTAGGTGTACCCTGGCTTTGTTAGGTGTATGAAGTACATGGGGCCTAGGAATCGTCCAGTGTTGAGGGCGTATTCCTAGTTGTGAAGCGCAGATGACTTTCCGGTTGAGATTGTGACCCAAGAAAGTTGTACGGTTAGTAACTATTTTCGCACATATTTTTTCCCATAATGGATTAACAATGGGAATATTATAAGTCTTCCTTATGCTTCTTGGTTGATTTGACAATACAATGTAGATGCCAACTTTTCGCCTTATCCTTTGTTACCGTATTTACCCGGGTAATCAAGCCGGGGGTCTAATCCTACCCCGGGAAAAAAAGGTGGGTGGGTCTATTAAGTGGGTGTTAAATTAATAGACCCGGGGTCTAATCCTATGTGCATTTCAAGTTTCAATGTCATTTGAAATGCCAGTGTTTCAGTGCAGAAGCGAGAATTCTAATGTTGAGTCAGAAATTTTATTACCACAGCCTGACGCGAGGCACGCGCGCGTCAGATTCTGCAGTCAAGTCAGTGAAATTTCGCTATAGCAAGCTGTCCCTTACTACATTCTCGCTAAAAATAGGAGTATATACAGTGAGGGGGGTCTAATCCGGATTCGTTACGAAAATGGGGGTCTATTACAGAAGTGCATATAGCATAAGAGCCCCCCCCCCCCCCCCATTTAACGACCCGGGGGTCTATAATTTGGGGGGGTCCATTACCCGGGTAAATACGGTACATGGAAACAGAGAATATCTGTGTGCATAAGTAGGCGGCGCCTCCAGTGTGCTCGCTCCTGTTTATTTGGAATCAGTTGCTCACAATCTTGAAAGCTCATCTCCAACAGGTGTGCATGGGAGGATATCAGCAATCACAAACAACGAAGAAACACAGATGTATCATGCAGTTTACACAAAAGCCAGCAGAGCATGTCACGCTGGAACAAGCGAAAAAAAGGTAAGGGAAAGAGAGAAGCTTCCACCTTACTTCTGTTGGGAACAAATAGCCTTAAGCGCTTCTGTAGTATCGAAACTTCAAGACACAAGCGAAGCAGCGCAAATCGAAGTACCAGCGAGTCAACCCTCGGAGGTTGATGCAACCGCTGGAGGTTACGCGAAAGTCAAAGGTCAGCGACCTTTTGTGAAAACAAAGAACGAGAATGGTATGACTATGAACGAAGTGAGTACAAATAGGAAACCCTAATTGGGTTGTACCCCCTATGGGATACCCCACTATAGCCTACAGAAACAAGTAAGCTATAAGTTCTGACACACCCCCATAGGCAAAGTGGGGGAGAACAAGGGGTCACAAGACCAGTCAAGCAAAGCAAAGCAAAGCTCAGGGTGGATCACAAAGTCACCACGCATTCCGAGCACAAGTTCAAAGGCCACAAGGCCAGTTCACATGCAAGATCATATATAGAGATATACAAGAGCAAGAGTATATATATGCGAAAGTACAAGCAAGGTCAAGAGGAGAGCAAGTGAGGCAAGACAGGCACAAGACCCAACTGCGTGCAGCAACGCTGATGATCACAAGGCGCAAATGCCTTGGTGAAGACATCAGCAGTGTTGGCCTCAGAGGCCACGTACGCAAGTCGCAGCTGTCCACGCTGCTGTAGCTCACGAGCAAGAAAGTAGCGAAGAGCAATGTGCTTCGTTCTGTGCTCCAGTCGCTGCTCTCGTCACAAGGCCAGCATGGCCTTGTTGTCTACGTACAGGACTGGAGGAGAACGAGGCTGCTCTCCAAGGTCGGTCAGCAGGTAGGTGAGCCAGCGTAACTCCTGTGCAGCCATAGCCCCAGCGTAGATCTCAGCCTCACAACTGGAGCCGAGAACAGAAGACGAGCGGGTAGCCCGCCACGAGACAGAGCCGGAACCAAGGCTGAAGGTGTAACCCTGTGACGACCGCTGCGTAGCCTGGTCGTCAGCCCAAGAAGCGTCTGCGTGCCCAGTGAGGACCACTGGACTCCGCCCTCCAAGCACTAGCCCCATGCCCGACGTACTGCACAAGTAGCGCAACACCCTCTTCGCTGCAGCCATGTGCTCTGGTCGGTGTCTCCCAGGAGCAACAAAGCGTGCGAGAATGCTAAGAGGGTATGCGAGGTCAGGTCGTTTGCAGGTCATCAGGTACATGAGGCAGCCAACAAGCTCTGCAAACGGGCCACTCGACTCTACGGACTCATCCGAAGGCAGAGCTGAGAGCGAGTGGCGAGTAGGCAGAGGAGTGGCCTGAGGCGAGGAGTACGTGAAGCCGAAGCGCTGAAGGACCTGCTGCACCATGTGTGACTGAGTCAGGGTAATGGTGCGGCGTGCTCTGTCCCGGGTGATCTGCAAGCCAAGGTAGCTGCGCAGTTCACCCAGGTCAGTGCACGTGTGTCTCTTCTGCAGCTCGGACTTCACGTAGGCGAGTCCAGCAGTGTCAGCTGTGGCAAAGACCAAGTCGTCGACGTACACGAGGATGTAGAACGGCGGCAGAGAGGTGTCGGTGCGCAGAAACAGCGACGGGTCGGCAGTGGAAGGAGCAAACCCAAGTGCCGCGAGCGTAGTCCTCAGTGTGTCGTGCCACTCACGTGGCGCCTGGCGGAGACCGTAGACTGGACGCCGGAGACTCCACTGGGTACCAGGAGGGAAAGACCCAGTGAAGCCAGGTGGGCGACGCAGCCAGATCTCCTCGTGCAGGCTGCCCTGCAAGAAAGCTGTGCTGAAGTCGAGAGAGTACAGCTCGTAGTCACGGTGAGCAGCAACGTGTAGCTGAACCCGAAGAGTGGTCATCTTTGGGGTGGGGGAGAAGGTCTGAAAGTAGTCAACCCCCTGCCGCTGACTGAAGCCACGAGCCACGTAACGCGCCTTGAAGACAGGCGGAGAACCCGGCGGCCGCTTCACCTTGAAAATCCACATGCCACTGACGATGTTCGCCCCAGGAGGGGGAACAGCGTCAACGTAGGTGCCTGTGGACTTCCAGGAAGCCATCTCTGCATCCATAGCTGCCTGCCACTGAGAGGAGTAGGGACCCTCTATCGCCTCCGCGTAAGAGCGCGGAGTCGGGATGTCTGGTGCATCCGGGTCTCCCTCAGGGGCTAGCAGTACAGACGCGAGACGAGGTGAAGCGGCGGCCAGACACTGGAACTCCTCCTGCCTGTCCTCAAGGACGTCCGTGCCAAGGGCACACTCACCCCCGACGGACGGAGGACAGGCGGACTCAGACTCAGTGACAAGACGAGCAGCGTAGTCTAGACGACAGCGCGCAGCAAAGTCGACAAGCTCAGTGACAAGGGCAGACGCAGCAGACGACTCGAAGGAGGGGTCAGTGACAGCAGTAGCCAGGAGACGCGTGATAGTAGGACTGGCAGCACGAAGAGCGTCCGACTCCGGGTCGGCAAGAGCAGGAAGAGAGGAAGCAGGAGGAGAAGGCAAAGGGGCACGCAGAGGAGCAGTGGACGGACGCAGTGACATCCGGTGCGTGCCAGGGACAGGAGGAGGACGCTGACGCGAGCCGCGACCACTAGCGCGCTCAGTACGAACAGGCGACACAGGACGAGACGCACGCTCAGTAAGACCTCCAGTCAGACCAGCGTAGGGAGAAGGAGCAGGCAAAGGGGAGGCAGGCTGTAGCTGTGGCTGTGACCGGACAGGCTGCGGACCCTCTAAGGGAGGAGGAGGAGGTGTAAGACCAAGAACCTGCTGCAGGAGTGGAACGAAGTACGGTCGGGGCCGCGCGGCGACGCTAGAAACAGCAGGAACAGCACCAACAGCCCCGGCAGGAGCACCCACTCCAGCAGCACCTCCAGCAGCACCACCAGAAGCTCCAGAACCTCCTGCCGCAGCACCAGGAGCACTGTCACTCGTGCCGCCAACGGCAGGCTCAGCGCCAACACCCTCAGCAGGACCAGCTCCAGGAGAAGTCTCAGACTCAGCAGCTCCAGCACCCACAGTACGAGCGCCGGCGGGGCGCGCAGCAGCAGTACCCTCTGCACCAGCAGCACGCCTCCAGCGCCCGGCAAACCACTCACGCAGCTCCTGTGGGGAGAGTGGCTCCCGGCGAGACGAAGCACCCCCAGGCACAGCACCTCCAGGCTCAGCACCCCTAGACACAGCACCCCCAGGCTCAGCACCCCCAGGCTCAGCACCCCCAGGCACAGCACCCCCAGGCACAGCACCCCCAGACTCGGCACCTCCAGGCTCAGCACCCCCAGGCACAGCACCCCCAGGCTCAGCACCCCCAGGCTCAGCACCCCCAGACTCGGCACCTCCAGGCTCAGCACCCCCAGACTCCGCACCCCCAGGCTCAGCTCCCGCAGCAGCACCAGAGTCACCAGTGACCTCGACAGGCTCGACCGCGTCTACCTGGGACACACCTGAAGGGGCAGGACCCTGAGGGGGGAGGGGGACTACCGGGGGGGGACCTGGTACCAAGAAGAGCGGGGGTGGGGGGAGGGACGGAGTGCGGTAGGGGAAGAGGCGGTAGTAGGGTACCGACTCGTCGAACGTGACGTCCTGGGAGGACAGAACACGTCGAG